CCGCTTCTTAGTTACATCCGTAGATGGGGAATCATTCACATTCTCATCGCATACATTGTTCGCATTCTCAGTAAGAGATAATAACCAGTATCTTACACTTGCCATCACCAAAATGGCAATCAATTCCATCATCATCAAGTTTCGAAACACTTATCAAATTTCTACGCAAAGAGAGAACATAAAGTACTTCTTTAAGTCTAAGTACAAAACCATTATTCAATTCTAAAGAAAAAAACTCCAATGGCTTCAACATTGGCTTGCACTCTATTTGCAACTTTAATCGTTCTTTCTCCTCTTTGCAAAGTTCTCGTCCCACTTAACCCCTGTAAGGAATTTGCAACATGAGTAGTTGCACCTGAATCAACCCACCAAGTGGATTTATCATAACATAAATACAGGGATTCATCTACAAATGTAATAAATTCATCACCTTTCTTTAGCAGAGATTTCAGGAAGTCTGGACAATCCCTCTTGTAGTGTCCCTTCTTGAAATAGTGCTTGCACTGATCCTTTTCAGCTCCACCATACTGCTGATTCTCAGAATCCTGGGGTTTCTTTCCCTGTGAATTGGAGGAAGAGGCCTTATCCCACTTAGGTTTCCCTTGTGGTTTAGAATTCTTGCCATTAAAGTTCTTTCTTTTGTTATCCTTCACAAAATGAGCGGATTCACCTTGTGAGGACTTTATCCTCTCCTCTTCTTGAGCACACATTGAGATGAGTCTTTCTATGCCCCATCTTTTAGGCTGCATATTGTAGTTCACAATGAAGGTGGCATATTCTTTTGGTAAAGAAGCAAAAATCAAATGAATCAGGAAATCCTCCTCCTTCAAATTCATTTCTTTTAGCTTAGATGCCGTAGTGTTCATCTTCAAAATGTGCTCTCTTATGCTACCACCAGTAAATTTCTCATTCACAAGTTTCTTAATCAGTGAACTTGCTGTGGCCTTGGTAGACCCAGTAAACTGACTCTTGATTTTCTCAAGATATTCTTTGGCAGTAGCACATTCAGAGATTGAGCCCCTTATCTGTTCTTCTATGGTGGCTTTGGCCACCAACAGGCACTTGCGATTTGAGAGAGTCTATTGTCTATGTTTAAGGTCATATTTCATTCTTATTTCAGCATGATCACGCTTTTGAGCAGCGAAAACAGCGTCAAATTCATTTTCACCTCTCACCAGGTCCTTTGGCTCAGTAGGACACGGTGAGGTGATGGTAAAATCGACCTCTTCCAACGCAAGTTCCAATTCATACTTCTCCCGCCACACACGGTGATTGGTCCCATTGAGTGTCGGGATGTTGGCAATGTTCACAATGCATTTGTCTCCTGAAATCACACCAGAGTAAGTAAGAAACAATTATACATAAAATTTCATGCTTTAACTCAACGTTGGTCAAATTAAAACTTATAATTCATCCATGCAAACATTTTACATCACCGTTGGGCAGAAGTAAAATTAATGCACAATTTCTCATGGATCAAAAATTATAATATTGTTATTAACAACGTTGGTCAGAAAATAACAATATCATAATCGCATCAAAATTATCAGAAATTCATCACTTCTCTTAAAATTAAATTATCCCGTTGGTTCAAATTTAATCAAAAGAGAACGAAAATTATCATGCACAGCGGAAACATTAATAATCTTTTCATATTATTATTTTCCAGAAACACTAAAAAATTTACTGTTTTCTGAGCAAAATATCGTTGGATAAAATTTGCACAGAAAAATTGTATCAAAATCATTCAAATTCATCAAAAATATGCATTAAAATTGCTCCTGAAAAATAATAACAAATTTTTTCTTCTTTCATTTCAGCCCAGTGCGGCCCAAGACGGCAAAAGCCGGCTTGGCCCAGTCCTCCGCGCGCGCAGGCCGCAACCTGGGCCTGGGCCGGCGACGGCCCGAGCATCCGTGGCCGCATCTGGTCTGTTCATCATCATCGGACGGTTGTCCGTTTCCATCGTGGGATCAAAAACCGCGTCGGCTGACTCTCTTCAAACCCTAACTTCATTTCGTTCCCGGTGCTCTCTCTCATCGCCTCTCTCTCTTTTCTCCTCAGCGCAGCGCAGCCACAACCGAGAGCGAGCGACGACGAGCGAGCGGGCGGTGGAGCGAGCCTTGGCGCCGTCGTCGGCCCCCTCGCCGGCGCGCGTGCTCCCCAACGGGTGAGCACGCCGCCGTCGAGCGGCCTGGCCGCGGTGCTTCCTTGGCCGAGCCCGGCGAGCCAGCGCCCCCTGCTCGGCTTCTTCTCCCGCGCCGGCGAAGGTTCATCCGACGCATGGCGAGGTAGATCCGTCCTCCACTTTCCCCTTTCTGATTTGAGTTGTTCTTTTCGGGTTCATCCGAATGGGAAACTAGGGTTAGGGGTAGGGTTCGTTCATATTCTTTCCGATATGAAATTGGTTCGATTTGATTTCTTTCTTTCACCCGATTTGAAATCAAGTATCTGTTCTTCTTTCTATTTTCTTTTTCCCGATCCGCATCAGATCGATCAGTTTCATTTCATTTCTTACCCCGATCTGATTTCTTCTCTAACCGTGGCTCCGGTACCATTGTTGGATTTCTTTTAGTCATATTCATCAGATCGGGATATTTTGCATAGGGATAGAATACATGTTCAAGATTTGCATGAGAGGCAGAGAGAAGGGGAATGAGAGGTAGCAGACCATCGAAGGCCGTAGTGGTCGAAGCACCAGCCGGGGTCTCGTTGGCGGACGCCATCTGCGCGCCGGCAGCGACGTTCGGTGGAGAGGGAGAGTCGGTGCAGTGGCATCCTCGGCGGCGACGTGTGCGTTGCGGTGGCGTTGCCGGCGTCGATGGTGCTTCCCGTCGCTGACAGCGCCCCTTCTCAAGATCAGGTTAGGGTTAGGATATCGGTGGGGTGACTGGCGGCGCGGTGAACCTCGTACTGCGAGCCCAGGCCCCCACCTTTTCTTTATAGCGCTGTGCGACGGGGGCCCACCAACCATGTAGGGTTGGCCGCCCCCGATCAGGACGCTAGAACAAGACCCAAAAAGATCGTTGGGCCTAACTGGTGGGAGATAAAACCTAACCAGCTCATCATGCTCATTGAGCACCAACCCCCAATATGCATGGCTAGCTCTCAGTCTGTGACACATCGTAAAGCTTGTGCTTCAGAAATACTGCTGATAGAGATAATATTTTTTGAAGGAAGCTGATAGAGATACAGTAATAGGGGAAAGGAAAAGGGAAACAACAAGGCCAACCATGCCGCTCTTGCGGAAAGCCGGAAAATCGAGCCGGTGGCAGTGTACTTCGCGTCTCGGAGTGAGTGCTGCCGCCCGTCTTGTCTTTGGAGGCGCTGGTTAATCACGGCCGGAAAAGAGTTTTTTTTTTAGGCTAGCGGAGACATCACGGGCCGGCAACTGCGGCCACCAGCTGAGGGGCTGTTTAGATTCCAAAAAATTTTGTGCATCTTGTGATATATGTATGGAGTACTAAATGTAGATGAAAAAAAAACTATATATGAAGTACTAAATATAGATGAAAAAAAAACTAATTACACAGTTGGGTGAGAAATCACGAGACGAAACTTTCGAACCTAATTAGTCTATAATTAGATACTAATTGCCAAATACAAACAAACAAGCTACAGTACCCAAAACCAAAAAATTTTGACATCTAAACGCACCCTGACTTTGAACCCCTCCCTCCAGCCCTCCTGCCTCCATTCACCCTCGCGCCAGATTCATCCAACAACCTTCGGAGGCCACTCGCAGAAAAATAACATATCAGCGACACTACCCATGCATGCCCGCGGCGGCCGGCGACAAGGAACGATTGGGGCCGCGCATTGCATCACGGCTGATAGCAACAAGGCACGCAAACATATTTCACCTGTTGCAGTTCGGTGCCCAACAATGAACTAACGCTTCTGGCCGGTTGTTTATTTAATTTGCGAGTACCGCATCGGTTTTAAATTATAAGATGTTTTGATTTTTCTAAATATATTACTATTTATTTAGAAAAATAAAAATATCTTATAATTTGAAATGAATGAAGTATACCATTGCCATGTAGCAGTGGAGCCTACAGTTTGTTACGCGCCCAATTAGACCGTCCTTGCCAATAATAATAAGGTCACTATCTTTGTGGAATTCATTAATTAGGCTTGATCCAACCTTATTTTAACTTATTTGGGCTTAAAACTCTATTAAGTCTACAATATGAGTGTTGCGAGTTTTTTCAAAAAAAATATGAGTGTTGCGGTACCCGCGAAGATTGCGTAGCTCCAAACTGTAGTACAAAGTCTAGTATTCTAGATCCACTCTTATAGACACAACATCAAAACAGTTAATTGTTTTGAAAATTGAGTTCTCCTACGGTCGTCTGACTTGACTTTTTGCCAGAGTGAGGTGAGAAGGCAGAGTGTGCTAGCTCTTCGTTTGGTGCTACCTCGTACATTGAGGCCAAGAACTCAGGGCCACCATAGACATGTGCGTAGAAAGTTAAAATGATGCTATGTCCTATGTGTGGTTTCATATAAAATCTTTGAAGAGTATACTAATATATTTATACTGATTGTTGAAGGGACAAATCTTTTACGCTACCTACAAGACAGCATGGGGGAGTAAAGCTAGTAGATAGCTATATTTGTTAAACACCTTAAGAAACAATGTAATGTAATGCTATGCATTGAAGGTATTGACTATAGATGTCGACCACTTTGTGCAGGCTTCTGATTCATGACCTCCATTTGCTTTAAGGGAATGGAATCCAGGTTGCTCACCAGCCAACTCAAAAGCACAAAGTAAGTAATTGACATGCTCAATATATAAAAATATTTTACACTGAGTCATCTAAGCCATTTTCACATCCACTCCAAGTTACCAAAGATACTTTTTGAGCCTAAAGGTTGTGGTCTTGTAGACAGTGGCCAAAGATGATTACATATGCGAGTTTTCAATGCTTCATGAACTGGAAATGGACACCACCAGCCACGGACAGGGCTTTATTGAAGATTACATGGACGCTTCAGTATTTAAACATGTGACAGTAAACCTTAGCTCGATCTGCCTTCTCAAATATCATAGCACCAGTTAACCTGCATGATTGGATGATTTTAAATTTTATACCAGAACTACATATCCCCACTATGACGAGGTTAGTGCACCTCTTTATCAAAGCGACAAGAACATAGAAGTTTAGATTATTAGTCTGAACTCTAAAGTAGACAGATATGAAATGCAGTAGACATAGGATGATGTCTTACCACCTTTTGAACTTGTAGTGAAGGTTGTACCCTTGTAGTCCTTACATTCTGAGGCTTTCAAGAAAATTCCTGTGCTTGTTGTCCATATTAGCTGTGAGATAGTCGAGGAAGTCACTAAAGCTGCTCTCTTTGTATTTTTGGGGATTTTGTTCATCCACAAGCTCCTTGGCACAGGCGACCTTCTCATGTACTTCAAAACCATGAATGCTTGCTATAGAAATCCTTGATTCTTCAGGATTCAAAACAGCACGGTGCACAACTGTTTTGATTTGCCCATTGCTCAGGACTTCCATGTGGTCTCCTACATGGACATGCAATGCATGCGGAAGTCGCTGGGCTGTTTTCCAGCTGTTGCTGCTGCGGTCAAGGACTTCAAGGCCCCGACAACTTGTGAGCAAGATGGTAAGAAATCCATAATCAGAGTGTGGTGCCAGCCCTATAGCCATGGCATCTTGTGACGCTTTAGGGTAGCAGTTCACTGACAATAGTTGTGAACCTTCTTGAAATTTCCCATTCAGGTATTCCTTACCCAATCCTAGGCCTTCTAGTATTGCTTGCATCAGTTGCAAAGCCACCCTCCTTACTTCAACAGCATACTTTCCTATGTATTCCCTGATTTCAGTAAACAAAAAGGGGTCAGGTCAGTTCTTACAAACATGTACAGCCCACTGTGTAGTTCAGGTTTGTCGGAGATTTTTTGGGGAAAAATTGTTTTACCTGTAGATTGGTGGTTTCTCTGGCCAATATTGAACCCAATCACTGAGTGGATGGGCATAATGCTTTAGGAATGCCCGTGACATGCTAATGCTATCTTTTGAGCTGGTGTCATATCTAACAGGTTGGCGGAGGTCCTCTGATGCAAACTCTTCCTTTGTCTCACTTGGTAGTTTGAAGAAATCTGAAGCTGCTTCAACAGCACAATCCATGACAGGTTGACTGATCCCATGGTTTATAACCTGCAAAAATGGAGCAATAAGCCAAGGGTTTGGACAGGGAAGTAAGCTTTCTCTGTTCCCTTGTAGTTGAGGATCTCGCAAGGGTGTATGGAGAGTCAACAGCTTAAGTTATCTTCTTAAAGCAAAATTTGGCAAGCCCCTCAAGGCTGGAATGCTCATAGCACCTAGAAAACTGAGAGCATAACACCACAGAAGGGATGATTTACAATTTGACATTCATAAGTACTGAAATGGCCTTCCATGTGAGTGGAATTCCCTATGGCCCTATGGAAGTTTTAGCCATTGAAATGAAAACTGAAGGGCAATATGGGAACTGAATTCCTTCTCAACTTGTTGTTTATTGTCAGTTTTCATGCAACTGAGTAACGTGGAGCTGGTCGTCTTCATCTTCCAGCCCCTTACAGTTTCAGTAGAACTAGCTGACTCACCAAGACAATTACATAGTTTGGTCAAAAGTTCTACATATACTCCAAATTTCAGCCAACTTAAAGCGTAGACTGTTCATTTTGGGAGCCATAAGTGGGAATGTAGCTCATCAGACATGCAGTTGAATCAAGACAGATTGCTCATATCATAACCATCTTAACAACGAGATGCTATCAGACCTAGCTTCTGGGTTTCAAAGAAGGTCTGTCGTCAAAGCATCTAAGCCCTTGTTTAGTTGGGTGAATTTGGATTTGGGGCTACTGTAGCACGTTCGTTTTTATTTGGCAAATAGTGTTCAAACATGGACTAATTAGGCTCAAAACGTTCGTCTCGTAATTTCCCACCAAACTGTGCAATTAGTTTTTATTTTCGTCTACATTTAATGCTCCATGCACGGGCCGCAAACATTCGATGTGACAGGTACTGTAGCAACTTTTTGGACTTTGGGGTCCAACTAAACAAGGCGTAAGGTTGAAGTATTTGCCACGGAAGTCAGCTTCCTCGGTCCACTCTACTGTTAGCCCCACAGGATCACCGGCACAGGATCACCGGCTCAGGTGAGTGAATCACTCATTAGTGTTGTCGAGCACCCACTAGCTAAGTCGACCATGAACGAGCGTTGTCCGTCCTCACACACTATGTCTAGAGGTTAAAGAAGAGGGAGAACAAAGCATACACACACAGTACAAGACACCAGCATTGACCGAAGCCCTGTATGGGAGATGGCAAATCTGAACTCTCTTTACTGAGTTGCCGTGGTGGTCTATTTATAAACCTCTATCTATCTAGTCCTAGTACAGCTGCCCTGCTGTAACAGTAACTAGATAACACGCTATGACTGACTTCTGCGCCTATCCCTGCATGTGGCTACAGTACCACAGTAGGGGCCTTTTCGGCACTACCTTCCCTTGCTATGTGTTCACACAAGGAAGCAATACATTTATTCTAACAATTCTTTCCCTAATCTTACTGCTATCCCTTGTACCCCTCTGTGCCGATCATCTCCTTCAGCTCCGTGAGTCGAAGACGTCCGAGCGGCTTGGTGAGGACGTCCGCGAGTTGCCGACCAATTTCGACGAACTCGATGACGATCTGCTCTCCATCGACACAGTCCCTGAGGAAGTGGAACTTCACATCGATGTGTTTGCTCCGGTCGTGCAGAACCGGATTCTTCGCAGGGGCAATGGCGGGCTGGTTGTCCACCATCAGTGCTGGTGGGTGAGCTTCCACGTCGGTCAGCTCGTCCAGCAGCCGGCGTAGCCACACAACTTGGCACGTCGCTGTGGCCGCCGCTACGTACTCTGCCTCGCACGTAGATAGCGCCACCACCTTCTGTTTCAGCGACAGCCATGAAATTGGAGCAGACCCGAGGAAGACGAGCACGTCAGAGGTGCTCCGTTGTCCGTCGATGTCTCCCACCATGTCTGCATCGCTGAACACAGTGAGCTACAGCCTACTCCCGCCGGTCTTGGGGAAGATGATCCCCTGATCCACCGTCCCTTTAACGTGGCGCAGTAGCCGCTTCACCGCAGCCCAGTGATCCTCTCTGAGATCCTCCATGAAGCGACCGACGTAGCCCACGATGAACGCAATGTCCGACATCGTGTGGATTAGGTAGCGCAGACCGCCGACGATGCTCCGATAGAGTGTTGCATCCACCTTCGCCACGGTGCTGGCCTTCGTCAGCTTCAGCCGCTCCTCCATCGGAGTCACGCATGGCTTGCACTCAGCCATACCGCTCCGCTCCAATAGCTTTGAGGCATACGCGCTCTGACCAAGCGTGAGTTTCTCGTTCCCCTGTCTCACCTCGATGCCGAGGTAGTAGGAGAGTGCGTCGAAATCGCTCATTCGAAAACGAGCCGCCATCTCGCGCTTGAAGCTGTTGATGTCCTCCGTGCGCGCGCCGGTGACGATCAAGTCATCCACATACATACCGACGACGAGCTCCTCCTTCTCCCGTTGTCGCGTGTAGAGCGCGTGCTTGGTTGCGCACTGCTGAAACCCAAGCTCGCCCAGCGTGGCGTCAAGCTTGGCGTTCCATGCTCGTGGGGCCTGCCGCAGCCGATAGAGCGTCTTGCGTAGTCGGAGCACCCTGTGCTCCTCTCCCTTGACGGCAAAACCTGGAGGTTGCCTGACGAAGACCGTCTCCGCCAGCTCACCATTGAGGAAGGCCGATTTAACGTCCAAGTGATGGACGCGCCAGTCCTTTGCTGCTGCCAAGGCTAGTAGCAAACGGACCGACTCCATGCGTGCTACTGGCGCAAAGACCTCCTCGAAGTCTATGCCCTCGCGTTGAACAAAGTCTCGGGCAACGAGGCGCGCCTTGTGCTTGACAATGATGCCGAGCTCATCCCGCTTGACCTTGTACACCCACTTCAGGCTGATCGGACGGCATCCTAGAGGTGGATCGACGAGCTACCATGTCTTATTTTCCTTGATCGTCTACATCTCCTCCAGCATCGTCCGTCGCCAGTTTCCATCGCGCTCGGCCAGTGCGAACGTGGGTGGTTTCTCTACACTGACGAGCAGCAGCTCTGGGTCGTTGAGCAGCCTACCCTCCATGCCTAAGGGCCTTGTGCCGCCGACGAGGTCGTCTAGCCTGCGGCACTGCACCTCCTCACTTTCGTGGAAGGCATCCATGAACTCAGTGATGTCACTTGGAGCCTTGGAGGTGAGGCGAACTCGATCGGCGTCGATGAAGTTCCCTGTTTCGCCGGAGTGCTCGGCACCCCAGATGCAGTGCTCGGCACTACTCCTGAACAGCTCGTCACAACTCCTGCAGTACTCGGCTCCACTGCAAGACGTCTTGGCCCCGCCACGGGAGTGCTCGGCACCCGTCCTGGAGTGGTCGCCCCCACTGCAGAACCTCCCAGCATCACTTCTAGCGTGCTCGGCATCCCTCCAGGAGTGCTCGGCACTCCTCCCTGAATGCTCAGCATCCCCCCCGAAGTGCTCGTCATTGCCCCAGGAGTGCTCGGCTCTTTCGCTGGAGTGCTCGGCACCCCTCCTGGAGTGCTCGACACCTCTTCCCCAGTGTCTCCACCACCGTGGATGACCAGGTGCTCGACGACGAAGGTGCTGGTGAAGCCGCCAGCTTCCCCCGTGCTCGGACTATTCTAGTCCCAAGCCGTCTTCTCATCGAAGACGGACAACGCTTGTTCGTGGTCGGTTTAGCTAGTGGGTGCTCGGCAACATTAGCGGGTGCTTGGTAAGACTGGTGAGTGGTTCACTCACTTGAATCGGTGATCATGTGGGCTAACAAGTGGTATCAGAGCATACACACAGTACAAGACACTAGCGTTGGCCGAAGCCCTGTATGGGAGATGGTAAATCTGAACTCTCTTTACTGAGTTGCTGTGGTTGTCTATTTATACAACTCTATCTATCTAGTTCTAGTACAGCTGCCCTGCTGCAACAGTGACTAGATAACACAGCAGGACTGACTTCTGCGTTTGTCCCTACATGTGGTTATAGTGCGGCAGGTGAGCCGTTCGGCGCCTGCCTCTGACAGTGCCTACAGTACCACAACAGAGGGCATTTTCGGCGCCGCCTTCCCTTGCCTTGTGTTCACCCAAGGAAACAATAGATTTATTCTGACATCTAGCAGTCAGCAGAGGTCACAGGTGGCGATATTAAATATCAGTCAGAGAAAGGAAAAAGTCAAAGGAAAGAGAGGAAAGGACAAAATGCAAAGGAAAAGAACTGTAGCACAGTGTTCTTAAGCAACATCACCTGGAAGTACCCTAGATCATGGCATGCGTTGGCGATTTGGTCGACCATGCCAGATCGTGTCACAGAGTCAAGGCTGAGGTGCCCAAGGTTGATCACCGGCGTTGGCGAGAGGTGCAGGTCCTGGGACACGAGCTGCTCCTGAGCAACAGTCCTTGACAGGTCAGACATGTTGGCTGACGAACGGCAGCACTGGAGGCAGAAGTCAGGCAGCTGCTATTCAGAATCAGAATACGGAAGGACCGGTGTGACTCAATCTACTTATAGGGTCCTGAAATTCATCCGAGGTACACGATTTTTGCTTCTTGCAGTGCTTGCGACCAAGGAATGAGACTACAGAAGTGAACATACACCTGATGGTCTTCACCTGGACTGCGCTTACTCCAAAGGAGACGTCAAGGCATATGCACATAACGTCCATGCATTCATTTGTCAGTATTCCTGTCCAGGAGACGGTCCTGGGCCGGCACTGCATGGGTGCGTCTGCCCTGGTGCCGTCCACCATGCAAGTAAATGTATCATATTCATTCTGTGGTTCCAGGCTTCTCCCTCAGCCGCTTTCTTCAGTTCTCCATATCTCATTGACGTCGTGGCGGCTCACAACTGGTGTTTTCTTATGACCCAAGGTTACGCGGATAATATTGGCCCCACTCGGCTTACCTCATATTCGACTTGTTCGGCTTCTTTTTTCAGCCGGAACAGTGTTTTTCTCTCGCAACAATTCAGTCAGAACAGTGTTTTTCAGCCAGTTTCAGCCAAAATTCTGCCAACCAAACGGGGTCAGTCTGGAGAGACGACTTGTTTCACTGATGTTGATGCTGCCCAGGGGGATCTCATATGGGCATAACGCTGAAAGATTGGTCAATTATAAATGGTTCAGTGGCAGGGTCCCAAGAAGGCTACTTTTGGTGGTTTTCTCATGCTGCGTGCTCACTGCGAGGGTAGCATGGTGGATGATCTCCAGCCACAGGTGATGTCGGACGATGACGGCAGCATGGTGGATATGGATGATCTCCAGCCGCACAGAGCAGTCGGACGACTATGGTAGTATATGGTGTGGGTGATCTCCAGCCCAGCGGTTTTTGTGCTGACGCCTGTCTAGATTCAGGGCATTCGTGTTCTTTGTGCTGACACTCGACAGATCAAGAGAACTGCCAGTGGAACCTTTGGTTTGAACCTGCTCCCATGGTGAAGATAGACCAAGTTGCAGTACATTAGTGCAACTGCAATGTTGCTTACATTTCAGATACTCTATCGCCTCTAGCTCTGTCGGCACTGCTAGTTTGGAATGGCGTGGATGAGTCATGAGCATTGCTTGTTTGCTACCCTGTCACTAAGCTTATTTAGTTATTTCAGAAGATGTCAACAAGGACCCCTTGTTCACAGAAGAGTAGGCCCGGTGAGGCAGCTGTCCCTGCTATGATCGCCCGATCGAAAACGACCGAGATCTGGTGCAGATTTTTCTTTGCGTATTCTCTCTTCCTGGACTCTTGCGTGTATGTATCTGCAACGTTTGGTATGGGTATGGCATTGGCACAGTTGCCAGAGCGACACAGCGGTAGTAGAATAGTGACATCGGTGGGTAGCGTGCAGCAGATATTTTGCTTCTGTGTGTGTCGGCATTCGTTTGGGAAACTAGTTTGCTGTCCACTGTCTTGAACTCCTGACGCAGTTGCTTATTGCTGCCGCGCCTAGATTATATATATGGATAATATATGACGTAATGCCTGCATCTTCTGCAGTTCTCTGTTCCATTTATAGTCCTTTGGATTCTCTTTCGTTTTCCTTTGTTTTCTTAGCGCTTATTTACAATCGTTTCAGTAATTTGTTGGATCTTTCCAAGGAGGAGAGATGGACACCTATATATAAGTAAGAACAGAAAAGACAAGATGCCAAGGATAGCTACTTATAACACACACAAAATGAACGAAGCTCAGCTCATTCCGTTGTCGAGTCAGTCTACTTTCCTCGTGCGGTTGCTAGAGGTTCCAAGCGCTTAGCATGAGGTTGTATTTGTATAGAAGCTGACATGTGGCCAAGTGGTTAGTGTTATGAGTTTTGCAGCAAGTCTGTTAGGGTTCAAGACAGCAATTTTAGGGCCCATTGGAAAGCAGAAATTTTACAAGAATCGTACATAAATTTCACAAAAAACATTTCATTTTTACAGCAAAAACGCAGGAAACAAAAAAAAACTCGCGTTTCGAAAAAAGGTCTTGGATTACAAGTAGGGATGTAGGTCCCAACCACTCCTCTACCATAAATTCTCCATTGTTATAACTAATTACAGTGTGAATAGTATGTATTTTGGAGGCATTTGTTCATAGGATGCGTGTGTGTGGTATGTGTCGAATGTGTATTTTTTTAGGCCTGTTTGGGAGGCATTTTTTCAATTCCTGCATTTTTTGTAAAATTAAACTAATTCCAATAAAATTGTTGTATGATTTCTATGAAATTATTGCATTTCAAGCAGGCTATATTAAAAAAAACTATGGAGGCTTGTGTGCATGCTTTGTTTTCTAATTTTATTTCCCTTTTTTCATTCCAACATCTATAGCTAATCATGTTTATTGGATTGTAGTCTTGTGCGTTTGTATATATATAATTTGATACTTTTTAAACTTGATTGGTCCAACAATATATGCAACATAATTTAATATTTTGGTAAACTAGTCCAACATTTTATGTTATATACGATATATTTGTTTGGATGTAGATATTGAAGGTGCTGGAAATGGCTCACAATACCAAATCTATTGTTTGGATGTACATAGAATTCACCCGTCTTCTCCTCCTCCTCTCCACCGCACCACCCCATCCCTCCTGTAGCTGCACCCGTCGGAGCTAGGGAAGAAGGAGAGGATCCCACCGAAGCTAGGCAAGAAGGAACCTACCATACCCGACGTGGAGAGGGTCAGTAGGGGTGAGGTGGTCAGCTGTATATGCGCAGAGGGTCAAGGGCGACGACCGACAAGTGAGGCATCGAGGGCTAGGTGCCACACAGATCGGGGGCAGCGACCACTGAGGGAGGCGTCGAGGACTGGGGCGCGCGTGAAGAGGGAGGCGTCGGGGGCTAGGGCACATAAGGAGAGGGAGGCGTTGTGGCGACGACCGATGACTGGCGAGGGAGGCAACAATGGCGACGACCGACGAGGGAGGCGCCGAGGGTCGGGGCGCGTGTGGAGAAGGATAGCGGGCATGGAGGTGAGGCCCAATTTCACCTAATAGGCCAATACAAAGTCTTACCCCTCTGTATTGGGAGAGGTCACTCCTAGTTGTAGTGCAATACAAAGGTATTGGGGTTGCAATTCTAAATCTCTTTTTCTTTACATCACCACAGAACATTAGCCCATATTGTTGTGGATAACTATAAGTTTATCTAGCAACCATTATAGGTAAGTTACAGCAAGAGCGAGCAACGGTTGCGTGCAGAACTACAGCTATGTAAGCAAGTGAGCAGAACATAGTGAGTAGGGGATGATGACCAAGACAAAAGCATGTCGGAGATAACTCCAAAGACACCCAATTATACTAGGAAACTAGAGTTTTATATAATTCTATTAACTTTATGCACAACTTAGGGGAAAAGGAAGCCTACAATTAGCGGTGGATCTTACGATGGTCTATGGTGGGCAAAGAAAAATGAAGATAAAGAGAAACACCTACCTTTGTTTGCTTACCACGCAGCCCTCTGCCTTCCTCATGTCGCACGTCGAGAGTCGAGCTGCCAACGAGCTTCACCGCCCAAATTCATCGCCATCCGCCTTCCATGGAACTATCGTCACCACGAATTTAGCAACGTCTAGCATTCAAGCCACACCTCCGCTATTGGTTGGCATACTCATTCTGCAATCAAATCCTAAGGCCTTCCTCAATGCACCACGGTGGCGTGCTGCCTCAATGTCCACCTCAGCTCTAGACATCCATGTCATAGCGAAGTATAGCCTCGCAGGTTGAGGTTGTCTTGCGGAAGGGACCATTGCCTTATTTAACAAAAGTAACAGGCAACATCTAGGGAGCGCGCTGTGGTGAGAGCAGTGGCTCTTGACTGTTGGGATCACGTCTGTCGCTCCAAACTCTCTCTTTCTCTGGCTAGGACTGAGCAGTGTGCAGACCGTGGGACCCCCAAAGAGACAACACACACGGCTTGCGTTGAGTGAACGGTGGTCTTAACCTATCGAGCTACGTGGAGGGTGACCTTTTTCCTGGGGCTATACGCTGCTATATGCCCGCATTGGTATTGGCCTAAGCATACAACATATATATACCTCTCTTTCCCTCTTCCAACCTCGATACAAAAGCGATGACACATGACGGCATAAAGCGAGATGAGCACGTTAGCTCATTTTCAAGGGATAGGGTATTACATATCTGAGGTGATATTTTTTTAGACAGATCTATCCTATTTCAACCTTAAACCAAAGCATGCAAAAATCTAAGATCGTCTATCCTTTACCCTGCCATCCCCATAACCACAGTGTAAAGCCCATTTTTGTTTTAGCTTGCAAATTGCTTCTTTGTTTTATCTTATACAATGATTCTATTTCTACTCCATTCACTCCAAAAAGTAAGTCAAACAATCTTTGGTTGGACCAGTTTTTCTATAAAAATATGTGAAGATTGTAATATATATATCAAATAAGTGTAATTAGATTCATTATACGATATATATTTTTACAAACAAAGTATAGAACATTACCTTTTTGAGACAGAGTAGGTATGGTCCACTGACCCAAAGCTAAAATAAGGAGTGTTCTCTCTTAGACAGTCAGACGGTGTTATGCTGGTAATCCACGATCCAGAGCTGAAACAAACGAATTGTGGTGTGCTAGTTACGGTCTTACGGCCGATATTTACCTGGAAAATTCAAAAAGAAAACAAAGCAAAAGCTGTTTGTAAAAACGCGAATCCAGCAAACGGCGCAAGCTCATGTCCAGTCGGGACCCACCAAAACTACCAGTGTCCCTACATCGTCAGAGGGACAGCGACGAAAAAACCGAGCCCACGCGATAAGAAAAAAGGAAGTGGAAAAAAATGGAGGCGTCCGCGGAGGCGGGGGCGGCCGCCGCCGCCGCCGCGCGAACGTTGAGGTGGGCGGGCCGCGCGGGGCACCTGGGCGGCGTCCCGCGCGCCGCGGTGTTCGCCGCCGTGGGCGCGTTCGCCAAGGCGTACGCCTCGCTGCTCAACACCACCACGGTCCACAACGCCGACGCGCTCCTCCGCCTCGTCTCGTCGCGGGCTCCCGGGACGCCGCTCCTCACCGTCAGCAACCACATGTCCACGTATGCCCCCCTGTAACCTCCTCACTCGTCTCCCTCCCCCATGACCCTTGATGCTTGTTGATTCAGACTAGACACAGTAGCTGGGATCAGATGTCTGTTGACCTGTTGCGTTGCTTGGTATGCTCGATCTGTCGTAATTCCGGCGCCTTCCCTGATGAGTTTTGCGTCAGCATTGGTTCCAAGTATCAACTGGCAGTGGAGTGCCTGGAGCAAATGAGTAAATCCATTCAGCATTAGCATCCATGGATGTCATTGATCTTCTGTTTTTGTAGAGACCTGGTCCTGGCCCTTGAAGCACCTGCTGTCTCCTACATGTAGCAGTGCTGAGGTTCTACACGCAAATCTTAGGTTAGATGTGGTATAGGGATGGGGGAAACTTGAAATTACATTTGTCTAGCTGTAGCTGTGGTATTTGTCTATTTGATATTATTCTTTTCTTAAAAAGTGCTTGCTTGCTGCATGATTCCTTATTTCTACAACATCACCATGAATCATTGTACATTGGTTGTGTATATTTAAGTAAACTACAATACATTCCTTTTCTCCATAAAATGTGTATGAAAGGACAAAATAATCATATTCACAAGTGTGGTGCCACCGTGTTGTCGTGTTGTACACGTGTCATGTATCAGTGCCCGTGGTTGTCAATTTGCTGACCCCACATTGTTTTCTATAATTTTTGTTTGTCGGAATTTCTGTAACACTGACCTTATGTTTATACCTTTTGTACCAGGTTAGATGACCCGCTTATGTGGGGGTTCAAGGGTTTTCCAACTTCGGATGCAAAGCTTGGAAGGTGGGTGCTGACAGCAGAAGATATATGCTTCAAGAATGTAGTCATGTCTTACATGTTTCGACTTGGTGAGCCTTAATATTCCTATTTGTTATCTCCGTTCCGTTCCTGTATTAGTTTTCTGAGTTCTAGTGATGCTCTGCGTGCTAAATCACGATGGGTTGCAGTTTTGGTATGTATAAAATTACCACCTATATATGATCTGCTCATGTGGGTTTTGTGGGTGAAAATTGAACTTTTTAGAGACAGTGCTTATGTAGGTTTGGGTATGTATAAACTGACACCTGTATATGATCAACTTATGCGGGTTTTGTGGGTGAAAATGGAACTTGTAGGCAGTGATGTTGATGCTACTTCTCAAAAATCTGAGATGATGTAACACGATCTAGTTACTGAGGTAACATCTCATATGAAGATATGGATTGTTGCCTTTTTATAGAGGAGTAAGAGGCATTTTAAGGTGTATCCAGTGAAGCATGCAAAACAGTAAAACGTCTAGCACAATCCTATTTAATCCAGCGAACAACTGTCTGTTCCTCTTATGAAATCTAGTTTCATTTCAACTGCCAGCAACCTTTTTAAGAATTCAGTTTCATGGCACTCAATTCACTCACCAAGACTTGTGAATTGCTGAGAGTTGGCATAGTTTGTGTTCTGCATTTGCCATAATACGCTCGTTTGCAGTATTGTGTATCAGATAAGATTAGCCGATGCTTGCTAAGCTATGTGCTGTGGTACTAGTACAAGAAACAATACTATCAAATCTAGTGCCTCATCATCTTTTGTTTAACTGCTATTTAAATGTCCAGTGCTTACTCTTTTCCCTTCACATTCTTCAGTTATTCTTATTTTTCACTTTTAAGGTGACACATAATTGTGCGCACAGGGAAATGCATACCAATCACAAGAGGGGGTGGGATCTATCAAGAACACATGAATGAAGCCCTTGACGTGCTTAAAAATGGAGGCTGGGTATGAGAAATTTTTTACAATTACATACTGATCTTTCTGTCATCAACAGATGCCATATCCCTGCCTATGGATTCTGGCCTCTATTTAATTCCAAAGTTTATCATGACATATTCAAACAGCTGCATACATTCCCTGAAGGAAAAATAGCCCAAGATGATCATCCAATTAGAAGATTGAAGTGGGGAACTGCCAGTCTTATTGTCCGAGCACCTATAACTCCAATAGTTTTGCCAATTGTTCACTCTGGTTTTGAAAAGGTACACGGAAGAATGCTTTGCATCTCATAATGAAGACATCGTAGTATGTGGTATAGAACATTCTTTCTGAAATATGAATATATTCTTAGCATGATGCCATTTACTTCCAGGTCATGCCAGAAAAATCGTTCTTTGGACGGCGGCCGCCAGTGCCACTCTGCAGTAAGAAGATAGATATCATTGTTGGAGAGCCAATAGAGTTTGACATGCCAAGCTTGAAGCAAGAGGCATCAATGGTACCCCATGATTCATCCTCTGAACGGAAGGGATGGCCAACCATTACACCAGATGGACTGGACGAGGCCGCGCAAAGATGGCTTTACCAGAAGATGTCAGATAAGGTCCAGTCTGTGATGGAGAGATTGCGGAAAACAGTTGTCAACATGAAGCAGCATTGATCTTGTTGACCTTTATTCATCAGGGAATGGGAGGTTTATTTTTTTCATTTTTCGTTTTTTTTCCACGAATACCTTCTTGAACTGCTGGTTAGGATTTGTTAACTAGCTTGAGTTGGTGGATACAAAAATGGGCAAATGGTCGTCAAACAAGTCTGTCAAAGTATTGGGAATAGAATTAGAGCTCAGATTGTTACATGCTGAGTCTTGAGGTATTAGTTAGTCTTGAAAGAAAATTTGTTGTTCATTATTTACCATCAACTGTTCAGGTGCCGGTTTTATTGAGGCATGAATAAAAAGCCTTGTGATGTTCAGTTGCAAAATCACCATCCATTTACCTGTCTTAGGTCTACAGTTTTTTACTTTTTTTCCTTTCCTGATCGGTTGTCTAATGTACCATGGAAATGGAAGCATACCAGAATTACGTTTTCATCCAGTGGGTTAAAGAGTGTATCTGCGCTTGGAATTCGGCCAGGAGGCCTAAACTTTGAGCGTTGGTGTAGAGCTGGATGATGTAAAGTTGTAAACTGTCTTGTGGTCTTGGTTATACTATAAGGCTGGGGATTATTCACTGTAATACTTTAAAAAAAAGTGTATTTGCGCTTGGAAGGCAGTTGCCTACTGTAAAATCGGGCCAGCCCGGAGCTGTGCAACGCGCTTCAGAACTGTGCCATCTTTGGGTAGGGGTTATCTCCAGGCCCAGCAGAAACAGCGTTGGGCCCTGACGGATCCAATGACAGTACTTGACCTCAAATGCCAGAAACATAATATTCTTCCCATCCCATAAAAAAAAGGAGAGTACTGCATCTTTATATCTAAAAAAGGCACTCCTAGCTACAGTATCATTTTGTTTTTGTTTGGTAATAATTGTCCAATCGTTGACTAATTAGGCTCAAAACGTTCGTCTCGCAAAGTACAACCAAATTGTGCTATTAGTTTTTGATTTCGTCAACATTTAGTACTCCATACATGTACCGCAAGTTTGATGTGGCGGGAAATCTTCTTTTTACGTAGTGACAAAGTTTGGAATTGGGGGTGAACTAAACACCCCCCAATAGGGTAAAACTGTGGCAGTGCTCGCTCCCACGCCACGCCAACGCCAGTGTCTGGCTAGGTTCTACCGAAAGCGACCCGACGCGCAGACGAGACGCGGCATGGGCCAGGAGGACCGGGGCCAAACAGTTTCGCCTTCGCCGCTGCGTGCCAAGCCAGCCAGCTCCTACATCTGTCCTGCTACGCCTGCATGCACGCCGGCGCCTCGCAGAAGCTTTGCTGTCGACTGTCGTCGAGCTGGGCTGACCCGAACCTGAGGTGCTGAGCGCAGACGCCGCCGAGCCCTTCCGTCCAGTCGTGGACTCGTGCGGAAGCCGAAGACGTGGCCGTCCACCACCGGGCCGCTGCTACCTGCTGGGCGCTGGCCCTGTCTCCACCCAGACTCCAGCCTCGCTCTTCGAACTCCGATCGACACGCCGCGTGAGACTCCCTGCCATGATTAGGGGAAGACAACATATATCCGCAGCGGGGTCCCGCGGCGGAGGGGCAGAGCACATCGATCTGCTCCTAGTTGGGTTGGAATCTCCGATCCGATCCCAGCTGAAGCGGACGTGTCACGTCTCACTCGGCGTCACCGCGTCACAATGGCACGGGCCAGGCAAACCACCGACCGAACAAACCCATCACATCATCCATCAGGTCACGAACACAACCCGAGATGAAAGAAATGGGAAATGCAATTCTGCAGGCAGCACATTGGTGAAGTGCGGTTGGAGATGTTTGGTGCACTGCACGTCTGTCAGATCAGACCATCGCTTAACCAATAATAACCACCCTCCTGTCGGCCAGCACCAGCAGGCAGCCCGCCGCCCCCGTCCCCCGGCCCAGCTCGCGCCCAGGCTTAGCTCCAAACCACGCACCATCTGGCGTCCGGGTAATCCAAGCCGCGAGCCAAGCGCACCGCCGGCCGATTGCGTGCGAACCGTGGCTGCTGGACACTGCCACTGGGCAGGGCCGGAGGAGCATGTCGCGGTCGTGGAAGTGGAACAATTCAGGGCGTGTAGCCGTGTTGTGCGCGCGCGTCAGCCTCGGCGTCGGCGCTGCGGCGGGGCCGGGGGAGCGAGGTCGGCTCGGATGGTCCGTCGCTGTTTGGGCGCAGCTAGCGCGGGGTCGGCGTCGCCATTGGACGCCCGGCACGGCACACGCGCGCGCGGGCACGTCATTTTCCGCGGGTCTTGGCGGTGTTGATGGGCGAGCACCGAGATGAGATGGCTCTGCTGGCTGCGTGTAGCGCTCCTCCGGCTATGCACCAACTTACACAACGCTTTCGCTTTCACACTACCTTTTTTTTAATATATAAGGTTCGCTTTCACACTAGTTAATACTCCGGTAGCTGGTTTAAAACGGTGATAAAAGACATGGGCCTGCTTGGACGGAGGCCGCACTCTGCCAAGCCACACGTTCGCCACCGCCACAGTTGTGGCGTAAAAAAACAGCGCCACAGTTAGGCGAGCCACAGCGCAAAAGTGAACTGGGTTTCCGTGTGGCTGCCACGTCCTAGGTATGAACCAAGCAGTAGCCAATTATTGTGGCGCCGCCGCAGTTAGGCGTGGCTGGTTGTGGCGTGCAACCAAGCACGCCCGTAGACTGTCGTAGAGTAAAATCGGGTTATTAATGGGTCTCGGGATCGAGTATATATCTGGAGGTCAGCGGTTGGTGTGTCCTAGCTAGCTACAAGTTAGTACGTACGAGATCCATCATCCCTGCACGTTTAGTTTGTACTTGACGAGACTTTGAAGTGAACTCTGAGCCAGCTAGCTATGTTCCTTGACTTGCTATCAACCATGACGGCTTGCGATCCGAGCACGAGGTGTACGTACGAACTGTACGTCTCAGTATGACCCTGAGTCGAAAAGATACTCCAACCCTAGCTTACACTAGGTCCAAATTGGCATCCCCATCTGCCCATCTGTCACGTTGTGGCGGTAGCAGTGCCATTAGGTTCGTTATTAGTAGTTGATGGCTTGCGTGCTGTGCTCTGTCACAGTTCATCATCATATCACACGCTAGCCCGGCCGGTAGTAATCTTCGCTAGCTCTATCAGTGCAGTCGCAAGCGCAACGCATACGCAGTATGCAGACGCGCATCGGTGATCTCGCCTCGCTTTGGCCTTTTCACGTGGAGGTAGCAGGCAAAAAGGTCCAAAAGGACCGGAACAAGCGCACAAAATAAACAAAAGGGATGACCGGATGAATATCTCGGATGACTGAGCCTAGCTAGATCTCGTTCCAATCTCTCTAGCTAAAATCTCTGGGATGCTCGTGTGTATCCGACAAAAGGTAAGCGTCCACGAGCCATGACGCAGGACACTCTTGTTAACTGCCCCAACGGGTACACGAGGCAACGCAACACACAGGCACACCACACCGCTTGCGTCCGCTAACTGTCTCGAGAGGGACCACATATACTACTGGTACTATAGTACTAGTACTTGGTAGTAATTACAGTACCAGTACGCTTTTACCGTCTAATCTCTGAGATTAGTTGCGACGTGTGGTAGACCCATAGTGACGCAAAACAGCTCCATGTGCCCATACCCAAAAAAAGAAACATGGGTAGCTCAACACTTTGCTTTTTTTTTTCCACCGATTAGGATCAGACAACTCTTCCTTTCTTTCTCCAACCTTTCCATTTTCCATTTACATTGCTTCCATGGCTGACGATGTCCTCGACCCGTCACCTACCTCGGCTCCGACAGCTCCCCGTTGTTGGATCCGCAACCACCTCCCTAAGGCGTGCTAACCTGACAGCAGTGATGTTCTTGCCCTAGCTCCGGCTCAGACGATGTCCTCCACCGTCCAAGCTGACAACATCACCGCTGCCTCGCCTCGCTGTTCCTGCTCCTGCGCTCACCACAAACGCTGGTCCGTTTTTCTGCCATCAGATTCACCATTTTTTCTTTTAAAGCCGTTGGATATGGAGAAGAAGGCAGCGAGGAGGGTTGAGAAAAAAAAATAAAAAAAAAACATTGAAATATACTCCCTCCATCCCAAATTGTAAGTCATTCTAAGAATCTTGGAGAGTCAAACTTTTTTAAGTTTGACTAAAATTATAGAGAGAAACATAAAGATTGATGACATCAAATAGGTATAATATGAAAATATAACTAATGAAGAATTTAATGATACTTACTTGGTATGATAAATATTATTATTTTGTTATATAAATTTGGTTAAACTTGAAAAACTTTGACTCTCTAAGATTCTTGGAATGACTTGTACTTTGGGATGAAGTGAGTACTTAGTATAGCTGTATAGGATTCCCGGAGCCTCGGAGAAAAAAACTTGGAACCATGCATCGAACCGAGATGCTTGCAGTGACATGCATGCGTGGCAGCGCATGGTCTTTGGGTGCATGTGCATTGCAGTTGCAGAAAAACCAACCGTTCGTCCTGGACACATGAACGAACAGAGGGTGCAGATGCAGGGTACCCATCGTCTGGGTACAGTAGTACAGCTAGCGCGGAACAAAATTGAACCTGGCACGCCCCTGTTCCTCTGGAATCTGGAATAATGCCGTCCGGGACCGTGGACGCCGGCGGTTGGTGGCGCCGTACGTACACCGGCTGGCCCTCTCTCGTGCATGTCATGGCCCATGGACCAAGCCAAGCTGACGAGTTGCAACGCAATGGCGACCTCGTACGTAGTCGTGGACCACGTTATTAAGCTGTGCCCTATTGGCGTTATTAAACTGTGCCCTGTTGGTTTGGTTTGTAAGTCGCACTTTTTTAGTTAACGAATATTATTTTTCTTTCATAATAAATTAACCAACAATACTTTCAGTCATAGCTTATCAACCAAACAAATAAGCACTGGCATGGTACTGTATGTATACATACATTGCAACGAAAGCAGCTACTAGCTAGCAGCTCAGCAGACGGCTGACGACGCAACGCACGTACGTCCCCGGGCAGGACGTATGGCACTTGGCTCGTTAGCTTGCCCTGCTAT